CTATGTAGCATGCATCTACCCGCGTTTTGTTCCACACCTCGGACGTCCGGACCCTCCTCAGCTGAATCCTGCCGTGCGCCGTCTCCAGGGCTGTTTGCCACTCATTGTTGCATTAGTAGCTCGCGCATCCACACACACACACACTCATCATCGTCCTTCCTCGGCCCTCTCGACCTTCCCCTTCCCCCCCACCCCAACGGATTCGTGCTGCTGCCATGTGTTCGCATAGATCGTGATAGTCGTACAGCTTTCCCTTTCTTCCTCAATATACCACCGTCACCTCTCTTCCGGAGTTGTGCGCATGTGGAACACAGCGACGTTCCGAACGATAGACCGGAGCGTTTTCTGGCTCGGTAGGAGCGAGGTGGGGCAACAATGCGCCTTCAGGAAGCTAGAGCCCTGCGTCACCTGGCTTTGCAGCCCCCGCAGCTGCTCTGAGCACGGTACGTGTGCCTTCTCCGTCTAGACACTCTCCAAGCCATTTCGCAGGTTGCGGGACATTCATTTCTTGAGCTTCATGCACGGTACTGTGTAACTTTCTGTTGGAGTTTGTTGTTCCTGCCAGCGGGTCCGTCCGTAGCGAGCGAGCGCCGGCGCGTCTTCCTACAGCACGTCCTGAACTCGGTTTGTACTGTACTTTAGCGCTTCAGCTGTTGTGCTAACATCCGTATGCGGCGTTCATCTGATGTCTGTATTCTGTTCCCCCACGTCCGCCTCCGCGCTCGTTTCCCCACATTCTCTGCAAGTCTATGTGCACGGGAGAGAGGACTGTGCCGGAGTGACAGTATCTTGGCTGGGTTACCATGTAATACGGAGCAAACAACTTGAACAGGACATACGGACCGACACGAGGCACGATCTGGCCCGTATCCACTCAACCTGTCACCACTGTATATACGCACAGCACTCTTCTCGGAGAAGCTGACGCAGACCGTTTCTGCCATATTAAGGAAAAGGCTACCGACGACACGAGCGGGGTCCCATTTTTTTGCCTATATAGCGATGTGAAAACAGACGACTGGTAGCTGCTCAGTACGTACGAGGCATGGATCAAGGCAAAGAGTGACTAGGCATAGTGGCTGCATCGTCCGTGAACTGTATGTCAGCGGGAAGACATCATAGAGATGACAACATATACGGAATCGCTTCAAGAGCCACAATGTCCACCAGACTGGGATATGCCTTGCGTATGTAGTCCATGATGTAAGCTCCGTCGATGCCTTGGCGGTACAAGATCCTCAGTTCCGTCAGATTGGGGAGGATAGAACGTAGCGGGGTCGCTGGATCTTCGCCAGTACCCAGCAAAGTCTGACACAGCTGCAGTGCAGATATGCCCTTGTAGGAGCTCGGCACCGCATTCTCGTGAAGGGTGCACCTTTGGAGCTTCGATGGGTTGGTGAGACTCTTGACGAGGGACTCGAGCGGTACAGCGCCCGGCCTGGGGATAGACTTGTCGATAGGAGGCGGGGCATGGTGGTCCTTTACAATATCTCAAGTTCGATCTCCCGAAGGTCGGGGAACGAACCACGGAGGAGGCGCTGAACTGCAACCTCTGAGCTCTGTAGGTTGACGTCTGCAGAGCAAACAGTAAATCAGCTTGGCAAGTGGTGGAGTGGTCTATACAGAGTGGATCGCTCACCACCATGATCTGTGACTCGGTAGTAGCCTGTTCCGATGTAAAGCTGTAGGTTTGTCACAGCTTGACCAAAGATGTCACCAGGACATCTCAGATACATGGCGTCCGTTCCGGACTATGTCGGTATCAGTCGCGAATTCCTTTGACATGCTGGACAGCAACCGACTCACTTGAATGAACAAAGATCTTAGCTTCTGGCATGCTCCCAGCTGTCTGCGTGTCCGGCATAGGCGCTCCCAGTACTGATCTGCAATATAAAGCGGCATCTGGCGGAAGAGACAGTCGCTGATCTGGAGAATTGCGAGATTGTGGCATGACCATATCATGTCTCGCAATGTCTCGTAGGTACACCCGTCAAGCACTAGGTGGGTCACGGAGGAGAAGAAGGGCAGACGCATATGGTACAGGCGGGAGTTGGCCATCCATCCTGGATGCGATGCATAGAACGTACGCATATTTGGGAAGCATTGCATGAAAACATCGCTGACTGACAGCCATATCCACTGGGATTTCATGGAAGCGCCTGGCTTGGATGAGCGGTGTGGGTAAAGGTGAAGCATAGAGACGAAGGATGCCCACTGCTTGCCGACATCGTGGTGAATGGTCGCAACGAACCGCGCGAGGGATTCCGGGCTGCTCAATATAGGATACTTCCAGAGGAGAAACTGAGCACGGGGCCTCCAGGCGCGGCAGACCAATGCACAGGCGCAAAGCGTCTTCTGGCTGAGGATGTGGTCCTCGACATGGTAGGTCGTGACACAGTAAGGATAATGTAACCTTACAGGCCAAGAGATTGCGGAGGGTATCGTATCGAGGACGGCTTCGCAGAGCTCAATGTGCAGCCGAGAGGACTCCATTGTTGGCGGTCTGCACACAAGATGGAATTGATGAATGGTGATAACACCAGTTGGCGAGCGTTTATGCATATGTATGCATGTAGCTTCGTCGCATATGGTTGGCCGCTTGACCTCCGCGAAGTCCAGCGGCCGTCATCAGCCATGGCACTCGATCTGCCCTACGATTCCTCATGGTGATCAGTCTACCCGCTCAGATTCAGCACAAACGACCTCAGATATTTAAGGATCGAGGTTCCTATCCTGTCAAGCCATACGCCGCGACCGTGGATATTTCACTGGTCTGATAAAGAATACATACATATCCAATCGATCATACAAAGAAACTCAAAGCGGCCGGTTGGAGGTGGTGAACTGGCTACTTTGGTTCCGAAGCATGGTTACACTATGAGTGTCTCAGCAATTGACGAGTTCGTCACGGTCCTATGTTCAACGGATCTGCGTACCTCACTTGTTTCTGCCCGATATGAAGCCAGCGAGGAAGCGGACCATGCTAGCTGTCTCCTCTCCTACTGGTCTTATCCATTGCGCAGGTAAGGAGAAACCATACTATTTCAGTGTTCAGCGCGAGCCCAGAACAACGTCGGATTTGCTGCATAGGGATACTTACAGTGCCAGTATCGCGCAGGTGGACGGAGTACGAGAACTTGATGCCTGCCTTCGCATACATATAATCGACGACATTCCCTGATGCTCTTGACATAAAAGCAATGTCAGACTGCTTGCGGACTCTATCGCCGTAGACACGCACTTATACAACTGGTGGCAGAGCCTTCCGGTCTGGAAGGAACGTCAGTTGGTAGAAAAGATGGGAACTGCCTTCGTCCGTACAGTGTATTCTGTGCCGTGAACCTGCTGAATTGCGTTAGCGGCCCCGAGTGCAGCTTCCAGCTGGTCCTCGGCATCTTTGGCTATCTTCTTGCACGAGAACGAATAAGGCGTGGACACTGATGCATGTGAGAGCTACCGTTTAGACTGGCCCAAGGACGAATCACATAGCCACGTACGCATTTGGCCGTAGCTCCGGAGGTCAACAAACGCCCTCAGTGACGGGAGCGCCGTAATGAAGTTGGCGATGTTGTTGACTTCTGGTGCCTCGAACGGACGGTGACCGGGATACCAGGGCGAACATGGGTCAGCTTCTTTCCGGTCGTAAGACTCTCTCTCGGGCATGTCATCAGCAACTGAGGGGAGTCGAGACTTCGCCTTCCATTTGTACCCCTGGCGAAGAGTGGGCTAGATTCGTATCCTTGACACAGTGACAGAATCAACCTACCCAGTTCCTGCCAGACCGGGTAGGTCAAACAAGATAACTCTGCTTATGAGAGATAAACGAACCTGTTCATATCAATGCCCACGCATCGTTCAGCGGGACCGACAATCTGCCTGTTTTTGTACCTGAGGACGCCGTTAAAATTGTCAAAAGCGTCACGCATGCACTCAGCACCACCTACCAAAGACGATCGCTTTCCCAGGTATAAACGTAGCCATCCGGATTCGGTACAGGTATCACATAGAAATCCTGGCGTTTGTGCATCAGCATCAGCTCGCTCCCAGAGCATAGGGTCATCGAGTCATTCACTCACAAAGTGGTCTAACCAGGGCTGGAGAGTGAAGTTTTCCGTCGCATCGGCGACTAGAGCATGTGCAAGATACAATGCGGTCGAAGTTGCTATCCACTTCCGATCGGAGAATGAGCCGTTAGCGCGACCTCTTACGTTGTCCCAGTCTTTGCTAACCTCACGAGCATGCTGAGCGCCAGTAATGACAAATCCGACTTTCTTGGACATCGACAGCCCATCGGATTTTGAGAATTGACTGTCACCTTTGGATATACGCAGCGCAAGCATTTCTCTTCCTTCAGAGGAGTGCCCTAGGTTGATGAGTTCAACGAGGTCTGGGTACGTGCTCGCCATCTCCTGCATGAAATCCTCAATTTCGTACAACGGATGGTATATCGAGTGGTATGTCGAATTTGCAAGAGAACTGAGATTGCCTCCTCGTGTTTGGAGGTGCAGGTCCTCTATACGGCTAAGAGGAACCACGCCTACTTCCGGGAAGGGTATGTCCACTTGTTTATCCAAGTCCTCGAAGTAGACGTCCAGATGAGACGGCCCAACTCGCCACACGTGAGCATTTGCGGCCTGCAAGGTATGTGACCGTCAGTGATGCCTTACAACAGCTACATCTGTTGGTGGACTATGACCTCGATGATTCGAACAATGTCTTCAACGTTCATGTCATTCGGCCTGGGCCGCAGGATCGCATATCGTCTCAAGGCGCCATGATCACTGGTTCTCGATAGCCCCAAAGGTGCCTGATCATTCAGAGCGGGAGACTCAGAACGAACAAGACTGGCACACGACACCAAGATCAGCCAGCGCCAGAACATCCTCATGGTCCGGGTGCAAGTGCGCCACTCTTAGTCTCGCAGTTCAAACGCCGTATCGCGGTCAGCCAGTCGTAACATAGAAAACTGATGTATAGAAGCCTGTTTGCAAAAAGATCAGCCTTCGATAGCTCAGTTGGAAGAGCGTGAGACTGTAATCGGTTTCTCTGCCCAACCCTGGTTGACATCTCAAGGTCGCTGGTTCGATCCCGGCTCGAAGGATTTTTTTGGTTCCCTCTGTCCCCAGTAGCCTTCGTCTATAAGAGCTCCGGGATTCAAGAATGGTCTACACTTCAAGGGCAAGATCACGCCAAGTTACTATGGTATACACCACGTACGCGACCCCTTTTCTGCAAACCAATATCACTACAGACGTGCGATATCACCTGCAGACGCGCCGGGAAGCGTCACTCGAAACACCATGAATTGATTGTCCACGTCCAATCCCGCGTTGAACGGCTTTCCCAATGATATGCCTTGAGTGCTCAAAAAGTCGTTATCGGCCTACAAGCCACGTGAGCAACGCCCGTCTACAGATGGGAAGGTCTACTTACTGCGGTGAAGAGGAAAAAGTCGTCAGGGAAGTCGGGATCCAGGCAAGGCGCCAGAGCCAGCGACTCCCATTTTGCATCGATGAGGGTTTGGTCAATGGGCTTGCCTGACGGAGATGAAGTTCAAGTCCTGACCAGATGACGACAGAACCAGGGCCAGCTCACCGTTATGCACTCCAAATCGCGCGAGTTGCGTGTCATCGATGAAGTTGACGAAGGAGACGTAGGTTCCGGGTGTGATGCTCGCGTTCAGTTCGCCGTTTACGGCGATCGGGTGAGCGGGGTCATCAAACAAAGTACCGTGAATATCCGTCGCATTGCGTATATCGAGCAAATCCGCCTGTCTGTATTACGAGTTGGGGCACGAGTTCCTGGAACGTGAGTGCAGCTTACTTGTAAGATGACTTCGCGTCGTCTCCGCCATGGCCATCTCCGTCGCGTGCCAAAACGAGAAAAACGCCTTCGCTCACGAAGTGCAGCTCGCTCGCCGCTCTGGTATTTCCTTTGTTGCTCAGTGGAAGCGGCACAACATACTCGCCGACCAGCTTGGGACGCGTGACAAGTGCGTCCGTGATGTCATATTCAAGCAGTCTCGTGTACCGAGAGGTGGACTTATCAGTGCCGCCATCCTGGACTGTCGCAGACTGCAGCAGAGCGTATAGCCTCTTTCCGGACGCATCTACAGTCAAACCCTCGAAGCCTAGTACATGAATAAGGCCCAGGCAGATCTGAGATACTGCCAGCCTACTTACCCTGGTTCCCAGCGCGTCCGGTGGTCGGATCCGTCGCCGAGGTGAAGTTCAGCTTCCCGTCAACAAGAGGAAGGATAGCCTCCGGCGGTTGTACAACTTCGATCAGTTGGCCCTGAGGCGACATGAGATAGAAGTACGGTCCATATTCATCGCTGACCCAAAACCTATGACAACGGCATCAGGGGAGATGACGCGAATGGACGCTCGTACACGTACGTTCCGTCCGAGTTGAGAACGAGACCCTCAGCGTCCACAGTGAGATCGCCATTGGAAGGTGCGATCGGAAGCGGCGGGTCTTCTATCGTGAGCAATCGATACAATGCTTCCGCCGGGCGAACACCCAAAGCATCCAGACCAGTTGTCTTGCGAGATTCCCGCTCGGTGTAGAGGAGTGTGTTGCGATACGTGAGCTTCAGTGTCTGCAAAGCAGTGTCGAAAGAAAGATCGTCGGCACCGTAGTACGGGGAGAGTACGAAGTCAATTTCATGCTGGCGAGCCTGATAGTCAATAGTCCCATCGCTGGCGGAAGAGGTGCATCAATTCTGATAGCTCTTAATGCAAAATATTGACCGTACACGTTGAAACCTCTGTCGGGCTGGGCGACCATAGTGCCGTTGAAGGATCCATCTGAGTTTTGGACGAAGGAGCGCCTCTTGAGTGCGATGGCACTGCCAATCCCTCCGATTGTATCCCCTGATGATCACGATGAGAGTTATGCCAGTGGCAGTATGAGAGATCTGCTCACCTGTAGACTCTGTGAAATTTGATGGTATCAGACCGAACGCGACGAGACCCTGCGAGGGCAGGATATCAGTGCCTCTGTGGGACAAGCGGCGAGACCTGACGCGCCTTGTTGACATACTGTGTACCCGCTAGGCTCACCGTCACAGCAAAGGACGGGTCCGGTTCTGAACGAGATGACCGTCGTCCGTAAGGGCGCGCAAGAGATACTCCTGCTTGCGAGAGCAAGGCCAAGACGGCCAGCACGCGAGCTATACCGTACATGTCGGACCTGGGGTTCTGCGTTCTGCCATTCCTATCGACGGCTTATATACAGCTCTGCCAAAGAAGACCGTTGACAGCTGAGGGTATGGGCAGCTGGACTGTCGAATGGACCATGCGATTGGTGCGCACGTTCGTGTGAGAGTCACGGTCGAAGCCAATGCATCAAAGTGCCAGGTGCCACCCCATGGGTCAGCCTGAGGTCGTGTGCGCTGCCGGTGATGCCTCCGGGAGAAAAACTCGAATGTTGATGGCTCTGTCCCTTGCGCCTCACTGATGTGACAAGAAGAATTCCGGAAGTGGTGCACACGCGGTCCTGCCTCTCCGTAGGAGCATCAGGATCAGCGAGAGGCACAGCCGTGACAAAGACGTCGACAAGGAAAGCGCAGCTATTCATGGCAGCCTCCATTCAGTCGCCATCTCAATGCTGCTAATGCAGGAAACGCGGAGTTAAGAGGGGAAGCGCTACTTACTTCGTGACCGTCTATCGCCTGCTGCAGCATAGACTGCATGTCACCACATTATAGGTCAATCCGCGTGAGTCAGCAGCAGCCAAGATCGAGGTGAACCAGACGTTGGTATGGTACGCGATTACAATCACATATCCTCAGTTTAACGTTCGTGAGGATAGTAGAATTCAAGCCGGAGGTAATCATGTACCGTTACCCCATGCAGTGCCAATTGCAGACGACCATCCAAGTCGGCCTCTCTGGAACCTCATGGATCCAGCCGCAATCTTCGTTGATTGTACGCTTTCCATCAGCTACAAGTACTGGCTGTATAATTATCCATCACGCATCTCTCACGGTCACGAACATTGACAATTGCGCCACTACTAGTACTGGCCATGGCTCGCCATACGAATGTTGCTAGAACAAATCGGCGAATGCTCCCTGCATCTCTCATCGCTTGGGTCACCATCGACCATTAGCAGGATTGTCTAGCTAGGGCGAATCAAAGGCAGACGCTATGGTTAGCCAGAAGCGAGAGATCCCGCTTACTCTCGCACCACCGTTAAACCCCTCGCTGCTCCATCTGTCCGACGAGGAAAGAGACTTCCTCCATGCCGTGATCACGCCCAATGACGAGGAACTCCGGGCTCGGATTCTAAACATTCAGAAGCGGTCAGTTCGCCGACATCCTATACCAGAGGTCATCATGGTCTGATACTGTTCGCACATGCACAACGCAGGGCATAGTGAGCCGTCTCCAGAGCTGACATATCCGGTGAGTTTCGACGCTGACGGCTTCCCAGCGAGAAGTATCCGTATCCCTGCATCCGCGCCTTCCACTTCGTGAACCTGATGATGACTGCCAATGCGATATACCCAACGGTGCTCGAAGCAGGCAAGAAGGGCGACAGCCTCTTCTTGGACCTCGGGTGCTGCAGTGAGTCCAACGAGGCCGCCCCGTTCTCGCTGACATTCTGACCACCACGATACTCCGATGGACCTCCTACAGTGGGCACAGACGTCCGGAAGCTCGTCTACGACGGCTACCCTGCCTCGCGGGTTCTCGGCTGCGACCTCCGGCCCGAGTACATCCAGCTAGGCTACGAACTGTTCGGCGATGCGGACGGATCCCCCATCCATTTCTTCGCCTCCGACGTCTTCGACCTGTCTACCGATCTCCAGCACACCCAGGGCGACACCGCCCCGCCGCGGGACCCGGCGACCGTCACCGACCTCTCGCAGCTGCGGGGCGCGCTCACGCACATATACGCCGGTGCCCTCTTTCATCTGTTCGACGAGGAGACGCAGCGCGAACTCGCGGTGCGGCTGGTGACGCTTCTGAGGAGGGGCCCTGGAGCCATCATCTTCGGGCGCCACCAGGGCTTGCGAGAGGAGGGGTACATCAAGGACCATCTCAGCCGGTAGGGGCACCGTTCAATTGCTGTAGGGTTGACCTTCCGAGATGCTGATGCAAAACACCTAGGAGGCGATATGGTCATTCTGAAAAGTCATGGGCGCACTTGTGGAAAAGCATCTTCAAGGAAGCTGAAGGTGAAGCCTTTGCAGAGAGGGTCGTGGTTCAGGCAACGCTTCGAGAGCAGTTCGCACCGCACGTCTTTGATACCGAGACGCCGACGTACATGTTGTACTGGAGCGTCCAGATCATCTAGCAGGCTTGGGGAAGGGGCGGAGCTCGCTCGAAAGCGTGAGACGATCGAATCACAGTTGTTGAATCCTGTCATATCTTAGCAATTTAAAGCGCGGAGGATTACTGTCACTAGTATGAGCTGTACGATACACCAAGATGTGCGCCGTTCTGTCTTTGACCGCCACACGACGCTTCAAGGCACGATGACAGCGCGGAAACGCGCAGTCTCCCTCCGCTCGAACGCTTCCTGCGCCTTGTGCAGGGGAAACCGCTCGACCATGCACTTGATGTTCTTCGCCCGCGCAAAAGCCAAGCAATCTTCCGCGTCCTTCGGGGAGCCGCAAGGCCAGCCTCGAATCGAGAGGCGCTTCAAGAGCAGGGACACTACCGAACGGCCAAGTCCCGCACGTTCAGTTCCAGCACGCCAACACTACGCAAGGGGGGAGAGGGGGAGGGGAGGGGGAAGCACTCACGAGGCGGGATGCGCATCGGCTCAGGCTCGACGGCGAGCACGAGGAGCGTGCCGTCCACGGCGAGCCCGTCGATGAGGTTCTCGGTGACGGCCGCGTTCGGCGCGGTGGACATGATGACCTTCACCCCTCCGAGCTTCTGCAGCTCTCGCGCCTGGTTCACCTTCGTCCCATCCACGAACTCGTCCGCGCCGAGCTGCCGCGCGAGCCCCTCCTTGGCGGTGTCGAACGAGAGCGCGATCGTGCGGAAGCCCATCGCCGACGCGAACTGGATCGCGAGGTGGCCCAGTCCCCTGTCAGCGTCGAGCCCCGCGCGCCCCAGGCGTGTTCAGCTGTCTTATCCGCGT